CTTCCGCTGTGGGAGCGCACTGACCACCAGGGGGCAGCTCCTGCTTTGAGTGTCTGCCCCCTGGTGGTCAGTGCACATCATAGCGACTGGTCATTCCGCAGTCCGGTCAATTTGCGTATTAGGGTTTTGTTATATAGGATTGTATGTACTTTCTTTGTGGAATGAGGCAGGTGATAAATAAAATAAGCCGGATGGTGTCAGTTGCAGCCCTCAGCCCTCTTTGCATGGTAAGAGCTCCAGGGAGGGTCCCTGACAGTGGCAGAGAACAGCCACCATGGAGCTTAAGGCTCCCTCAGCCCCCAAGGCTGTGCCTGGCGCCTCCCACAGGCCTGAAAGTGAGTTGGCCCTGATTTCAGCCACAGAAAGTTTCTTGCAAGAAATTAATTAGGGTCAGAGTTAGGCTGTCACTAAGGTGTGCTGCCTACATCCTCACTGAAGACAACGCTGTTTGGCCTGGGCCCCCAACTCCATCTCTCTTTGGGGTACATCTGTGGCTACAGCTAATCAGGGCCTGAGAATCTAAAGTAATGTGATTTAGTAACCACCTCCGTGGGCTGCTAACAATGCAGATTCCTTGTCCCCGCTCAGAATGGCTGCGTCAGAATTCCCTGGCCCTGGCATCTGCATTTTGCCAGTGCCCCCACTGGAAGGAGAGACCACAGGCCTGGTGAGGAACCTGCAGTAACCAGGGCAACTTGGGGCTCCTAGGCTGGGGCAGCAGCGCCACCTGGTGGATTCTTCTGGAATACTTCCCATCCATTGACCTTGCTGCCCGACTGTAGGGAGGCAAGTCCCTCCACCCCAACCCCTCCGCCTCTCCCAGGGCCCCAAGAGGTCGAGAGGAGGAGGTGGTGGGGCAAGTGGCCTCCTATGTCAACCTTTTCCCCCCCGACTTCCACCCCCATCTCAGCGGAGAGGGACTTCCCGTGACAGGCCTTACAGCGCGGTGCAGGCTGGTGAAGCCAGGCCTGGGGAGTCCCGGGCTCACGCTCGGTGTACAAGTAAGAGCTTCCTTTAAGGTCCACGTTGCATTGTTAAAGCTCCCGAATTCTGCACATCTTACGCCATCACATCTCTTTAATACAAAAATGCTTCCTTCCTTTGTCAAAACCAGATGCTCAGATAGAGGCCAGGCTTGTCCTGCAACCTCACCGACCCCTCCCTCACCAGCCCACTTTCTGTACCTTCTGGGGGCACCTGGTCTCAGAAACAGGAACCTAGAGGTACAATACACACCTGTTTCAATATACAAATCCAATTCCAGCCACATGGGCAGCCGGGCTGATGGACCAAGGCACGGGACTGAAGAGGGGGCCAGAGATGCCGAGAAAGGGCCCTGCCCTGGGGACAGTAGTGGGTGCCACCACGCTTCCCTGCAGACCCAGTCACTCCACTCACACCCCCTCTCTCCCCTCTGGCCCTCCCGGGCCCGGGACGCAGCATCCCCAAGTCAGACCAGATTCTTACAAATCCTCTTTAATCGTCAGTCTGCAGATCTGCAGCGCGCTTTACAGAGCGGTGCTCGGAGCCCTCCTCACCCTACAGAGCACAGCCTCACCCACCCACTCCTGAACAGCTCAGGTCCCGGCAAAGGCAGGGCCAGCTCTGTGCCACACCCTGAGGACACACCCCTCTGATGCCCTAAGCAGCCCAGGGCCAGGCCCAGCCCCCTTCAGCCTGGCCCATCTAGGCCTTGCTCCCAGGAGTTGGGCCAGGCAGATCTGAGCTGCCTGGGTGGGGCTGGGTCAGGCCTGGGGGAGAGGTGCCGTCCCTAACGTCAGGTAAAGCTTACCCTTTCCCACAACCTTTAATAAAAATATGAAAGCCAACGGTATAAGCCTTATAGTGGAAAACAGTTGACCCACGCAGTGGGTAGTCCCCTGACAGCTCAGGGTGCCTTATTTACCCCGCCCCCCATTTTTAATACACTTCCCCCCATACAATATATACATCCCCCAAGGCAGGTAGAAACCCAGCCCACCTGCGCAGAGATGCTGCAGGGAGGGTTTTCGTTGAGTTGCTCAGAGAACCCTGTTAGGCAGCGAGCGGAGGAGCCACAGTGCAGCCGGGCTCAAGGCTGGAGGCAGAAAGGCAGGGAGGCGTCCAGGCCCCAGACAGCCCCTCACTTCCAGCAGCACGGGGCGCACAGGTGCCTTGGCAGTGAGGTGGGGGGCGGGCCTGGAGGAGGGAGCCAGGGACACCCTGGGAGCCCTGAGGTTGGGGGACAGGCAGGGAGGTGGGGACAGCAGCTGCCTCAGTACTTGGGGACCTTGCTGTAGTCTTCGGAGTGCACGTTCCGGCACAAGCAGATGGACAGGAGCATCCCCAGGAGCTGTTGAGGGGGAGGGCGAGAGTCAGCAGAAGCGGGCTGCCCAGCCCCCAGAGGCCCCAGGGCAGCACCCCACTGTCCAGGTCCACACACAGGGAGTAAGAGGACCCTCGCCCGACGGCATGGCTCAGTGGTTGAGCATCAACCTATGAACCAGATCATGGTTCAATTCCCGGTCAGGGCACATGCCCAGGTTACAGGCTCCATCCCCAGGGTGGGCTGGGGGGACGTGCAGGAGGCAGCCTATCGATGATTCTCCCCATCACTGATGTTTCTATCTCTCTCTCCCTCTTTCCTCTTTGAAATCAATAAGAGACTGAGAGAGAGAGAGAGAGAGAGAGAGAGAGAGAGAGAGCGCTATAGCCTCGTGACCAGCCTGAGATTCAGGCGGCAGAGGGCCAGGGCGGGACAGTGCTCAGGCCAGGCTTGCCGCAGGGCCTCCCCCGGGACATCAGCACAGCAGGGACAATCCCCGGGGACAGAGCCTGGGGAGGGCTGCAGGCAGGGGACACGGACCTCAATGACGGCGACGCCCACGCACACGCCTAGGATGATGCCCAGGTTTTCCTGCAGCCACGACTGCACCTTCTCCATGCAGCCCTGTGAGGGAAGAACACAGCCATGTCACCCGCGTCACGCGCCTCACCCCATCATGCAGAACCACTGGGGGCCACCCCCAGCCCAGAGTGGTCTGTGCGTATCTGGAATAGATATATTAGTGAATAGTTAATGAAGGTACAAATGACAAGCAGACAAATGGACCAAAGGCAGGAACAACTAAGTGAAGGAAGGGGAAAGGATGGAGCAGGAGCCCGGGCGAGCCTGGGTGTCCCCGAGCCCAGCCCCTCAACCCCACCGCCCTCTACGTACATCCTCATACACAGGCCACTGCTCGGGACTGTTGCCGCTCTGGGTCCCGTTGCCGCTCTGGGTCCCGTTGCCGTTGGAAGCCGTGCAGAAGCCCTTCTTCACCAGGGGGCTGTCGTCCTCCCCCTTCTTCTCGCAGGAGCAGGGGTAGGTGACGGCGGTGCGGTTCATGAGCTCAGCATTTTCTGTCCAGTTGTAGAAGCTGACCCAGCCACAGCACTTGCCCTGGGCAGAGAGGGGACAGGATGCTCATGCCCAGGCCCATCAGGCAGGCTGCCCTCCTGGCAGAGGTGGGGCCGCCTGGAAAGAGGCTCGGATCTGCTACTTCTAGGCCTCCCTGGTCCCAGCCACACCTCCAGGACTCGAGTTTAGATTTCACTTCGGCTTCTGTGAGCCACAAAGAATTTAAAGGGGCTTTTGGGAAACACATGCCATAAACTGCTAAACAGTGGGAAGAAAAAAAATCAGGACCAGCAAAAATATGAAGCAGAACAGGAGGGAAGTTCACGTTGAAAAGCAGAACACGGGCGTGGGGGACAAGTAGGAGAGCAGATGGCATTCAGCTAAGAGCGTGGGGTCTGGAGTCAGGCTCCGGGGTTCAAGTCCCAGCTCAGCCACCTACCGGCTGCTCAGCTTTGGTCAAAGTACTGACCTCAGTTTCCTCATCTGCAAAACGGGGTAATACGTTTTCTAACTCCCTGTTACTCGGACTAAACGGGACGAGGCAGGCGGAGCGCCCAGCACAGGTCTGGAGTGCACAGTCATTGCTCAGGAAAGGCCAGTCCCACTGCCAGGGGCTGGGCCCATGCTGGAAATACCCCAGGAAGGCACAGCAGAGTGGGGGCAGGGCTCCTTTCCAATCCTGGCCCTGCCCTGTGCACGGGCAAGCCGCTGCCTTCCTCTGGGCTCGACTCCTCGCCTGGAGAATGGGATGGCAATAACCACTATGCTAGGATCCCTGGGAGGATTAAATGAGTTGCATGGGCGAGCTGGGTGAGCTGCGTGCCACCATGCCCAGCACATGGTCAGTTCCTCACCTGCTTCCTTCTCAGTGATGAGTCCCTGACAGGCAGCCCGGTGGCCAGCAGAGGGCATGCCAAGCATCTCGGGTGTTCTGGGGCTTCAGGTTGTACTTTTTATGTTGCAGTTGCCTGTCTGCTTTCTCTCTAGCACAGTGGTTCTCAACCTTCCTAATGCCGCGACCCTTTAATATAGTTCCTCATGTTGTGGTGACCCCCAATTTCATTGTTACAAATTGAACATAATTAAAGCATAGTGATTAATCACAAAAACAATATGTAATTATATATGTGTTTTCCGATGGTCTTAGGCGACCCCTGTGAAAGGGTCGTTCGACCCCCAAAGGGGTCGCGACCCACAGGTTGAGAACCGCTGCCTAGCAGAAAGGTTGGCACCTTGGAGATCCTCCCACAAAAGGAGGCGGCTTTCCTCGGCCTTGTACTGCACCAGGCGGAGCCCTCCTCTCCAGCACCTCCTGCCCTGACCCACCCACCCTGTGTCTCAGTGGTTGTGCATGGCGAATAAAACATCACCACATAAGTGCTAAGTGCTGCCTAAGTGCCATGGGCTTTAAAAGTTCATCCCACGAATGATACTATAAATATGCAAATGAGTATGGATCAATAGCCCCATTTTATAGACGAGGAAACTGAGGCTCAGAGGTCTGGCCAGGAAGGGGCAGAGTTCGTATCCCAGTCGTCAAGAGCCTGACTTAACCACCTTCTCAGGCGGTGTCTGACAGACATCAGAATCAGAGCCTTGCCAGCTGCAGGGAACCTCCACCAGCCAACCACCTTCCCCGGTGGGATGCTCCTCAGCTCCCAAGGGACTCGCTTCTCCCGCCCCCAGGCTCCTGGGAAGGTGGCACTTGTTTATCCTGGGACAGCGACTCCCTCCAATCTCAGCAAAGCGTCTCAGGAATTGTGGGTCAAATGAATGGTGTGATGACAGCAGCCTCCTGTGTGTGCCCGGCCCTCCAGGTGACCCAGGCCCTCCTACCTGGCCTCACCTGGTCCTCACCAGGAAGTCCGTGAGGCACTCGGGCCAAACACATCACCCTCCCCTTTTCCCAGCTCAGAAAACTGTGCCCACGTCCCCTGAACAAAGTCCTTCCTCCGTGTCCAGACGCTCCCACTGTCACTCGGTGCCAGCAGGTCCTACGTGATTGCTGTGCCCAGCGCCCTCAGGGGAGAGGAGGAGGCTGCCGCCCAGAGGAGGAGTCCTGGCCAAGGGCCCACAAGAGAGGGGGCCGCCGGGACCTTTTCACTGAGCCGATGTGTGTGTGATGATTGGCTCACCACCAGGGCAGGCTGGGAGCCCAGTCAGACGGCCATTCATTCATTCATTCAGTCAGTCATTTATTCCGTCAGTCAGTTATTCCATCAGTCATTCAGTCAGCATGCCAGTCTGTCTGTCATGTAGTCCTTCATTCTGTTAGTCAGTCATTGGTCTCTGCCTCTCCCACTCTAATTCAGGTGGAATACACATACTACACTAAAGTACACAAATGCCATCTGTGGGTTTTATATGCATGCCGGCCTAACCGCCTGGATCAATGATTAGAACATTCCTTTTACCCCAGAAGTTCCCAAGGGCTCCTCCCAAGGGGTAGCCTCCATTCAGACTTGGCACCCCGTTTCTTAACCTCCAGGGTAGAGCTCACAACACTGGCCAGCCTGGCTTGTGGTGAGAGGGCCGAGAGCTGACCCCCTGCTCTCTGGCCACAGGTGGGAGCACTGTGAGCCATGGACAGCCTCCAAGACCCGGGGCCCCTGAGCAAGGAGCTGTGGTGGTGGCTGAGGGGCCAGGAGCCCCCACCCCATCAGATGCACAGTCACACAAAGTCGCTAACGTGGTCTGTCAGGTGCATACAGGCACACGGAGACCAGACCCAGACACACAGATACCCACAGGCCCGGAGCCTCACGCTGGCCACCCCTCGCCACCCAGCTTACCTGAGCCTGCACGTAGTCCCAGCCCTGCTGCAGGCTGTCCTCCTGGCCGTCCTTGTAGTCCCGAATGAGCTTGGTCACGATGCTGCCCATCTCCTGCTTCACCTGCAGAGAGGAGAGCCAGGGTCAGGTCTGACTTCTGGAAACCCATGCCCACCTCTGGTCACATCGACTTAAACCACCTCCCCCCCTCCCTCACCCCCGAGCCCGGGGACAGGCCTTCCTGGACCACCCTACAGAATAGCATCCCTTCCCCCCCCACACCCACCCAGGCCCTCCTTGTCTTGTATTTTCTCCATAGCATTGTCATGACATGATCATTTGTTTCCAGGATTTATCATCCCCCTCCTCTCCCCACTGAGAACATCAGCTCCATGGGAGCAGGGATTGTGTCTGTGAGCCTGGCCAGAGTAGGTGTGCAGTGTCCACAGTAAGGAACATGTGCAGAACCGCTGCTATCTGCACGCACCCCGAGGTCCTCATGCATGCACCCCGAGGTCCTCATGCATGCACCCCGAAGTCCTCATGCATGCACCCCACAGTCCTCATGCACGCACCCTGAGGTCCTCATGCACGCACGAGGTCCTCAGCTGCTATCTGCACCACCCCACAGTCCTCATGCACGCACCCACAGTCCTCATAGCTGCTGCTATCTGCACGCACCCACAGTCCTCATGCACGCACCCACAGTCCTCATAGCCGCTGCTATCTGCACGCACCCACAGTCCTCATGCACGCACCCTATCTACCCTCACACCTGCCCTGGGCCCCACAGAATCCACATCCTGGCAGTGCTGGTCGCCATGCTCAGGAATTCAGAGGCCCACAATGAAGAAGAGAAAAGTACACCCGCTTTTCACTAAATGCAGAGAGACACTGATTTACAAATAAGGCAGGTGAGGCGTGCAGGATCAAAAGAATTCACCCCAAAGACCTCTCACTGGGGCCCTGAACTGAGGCCCTCACTACAGCAGCTTTTCAGGAACGAGTCAGCTGTGCGAAGGGAAGCAACCTGAAACCAGCCCAGGTGGCTGAGGACAGGGCTTTCCCCAGAGACTAGAACGGCCCCATGTGGGAAGGGGCCCTGGAGCCGGCCCTGGCCTGGCCCCCCCTGGCCTCTCCCGCGGACCTTGCCCAAGGCCCTTCTCAGCATGCACAGGCTGGTTGTGGTCACCCCAGGCGAAGGGCCCGAGAGGCACAGCGGCCCCGAGGACAGCTGCACACCTGCCCTCAGTTCCTGAGAAAGGGGATTAGGGAGAGGGGACAGGTGCTTCCAGGCAGGGGCTTTCACAGCCTGGCTCTGAATCCTGTGTGTGGGACTTCCGCCAGCGCCCCACAGGCAGCCGCGCCTGCTGTGCTCAGAGAAACCACATCCTCAGGATGGACCTGCGGCCCTGGCTCCTGGGCCTCGTCACTAACCCAGGGAAAGCAGCCGAGGACCTCGCTCTGCCCTCTTCCCCTTGATAAAACCATTTGCATGTTGCTTCTTGTTTACTCCCCAGAGCTCTCTACAGTTTACCAAGCTTTCTGGTCCGTAACAACAAGCCCAGTGGCTAACATGGACCGAATGCTTGCTTTGCACCAGTGCTGTGCTAAGCACTTTTCATGCGGCATCGCACTTCAATCCCCAGAGCAGACCTATGGTCAGGGTACTGACCTCGTTCCCTCAGTCTAGAGATGTAGAAAAGGAGGCTCAGAGGGGTTCGTTAACTTGCTCAAAGTCACACAGCCAACAAGTAGAACAGCTGAGGTTTGAACTCAGGCCTGATTCGAAAACCCAAGCTTTTACCCATTCAGCTCTACTGGCACTTTAACCATATGGCTATACCTTGAAGTGGGTCATAGCACCTTTAAGAAGGGCCCAGAGAAGCCTAGTGGTGGGCCCCTGCCACATAGCTGGGGCTGTCCACCTGCAGATCTTGTATCTTTCTGCCCCACCATCTCTGCTCCCCACCTCTGCCCCCGTGAACGGATGATCACTGAGGCGTGGAAAGAAGGGGGTTCCCCCGAGGCATTTGCTTGGGGAACATCCTCTCACGGCCTTCCCCCACATCCTCTCACGGCCTTCCCCCACATCCTCTCACGGCCTTCCCCCACGGACCCAGGCTCCATTTATACCCCAGTGTGGTTGCCGCAGCAGCCTGGACTTCCCTGTTTCAGGCCCTCCCGAAATGAAAAGGTGATGGAAACCGCGTGCTTTCCACTGACACTGGGTGGTTTCCATGGAAACACCATATCATCCTCCAGCCCAGAATGTGACTGAAGGCCACAGCTGAGCCCCAGGGACCACGGCTGCAGGGGCCGGTTCAGCTGGCAGCTGATGCCTTGGGATCCCAATCCCGAGGCTGTGTTGGGAGCCCAGGGAGGTCACCCTGGCAACCAGGCTGCTCCTGAGACCAGGAGGAGCAGGGAGATAGAGAGGATGCTCACCATCTCCTTCACCTCTGCAGGCTGCCTCTGTGGTTCCTGACTGCCCTGCACCCATTCTCCCTTCTTCTTGAAATAACAGGTCCTTTCCTTAAGGGTCAGCACCCCTCAATCCATCCATGTGCCTGGCAGGCCTCCCCCCACCCCACATCCCTGCTGCTATGGGCTGGCAAAGACCCAGGCTGCCACTTTAATGCCTTCCACACCATTGGAAAGGCGGGTGCTTCAGGGATGAGTACGTGTCCCATGGTCACACACACAGGCTCTCTCTTTCTACTAATCTGATGGGACGAGGGCCGCCACCTTGGGCTCCACTAGGGACAGCCCGCCTGAGAAGAAAGTGGAGGAGGGAGAGGGAGAGACCTGCTGGCAGCCTCGGGATGCCTGGGCCCAGCTGAGCCTGCGGCCAGCCGGCTACTCTCAGTGGGTCATTGCCACCGGCGATCGAGTCCTGCCCAGGAAGAACCGCATCTTTATAGCCAGTGCAAGACAGAAATGCAGGGCTCTCGCTCAAAAAGGACTAAGAATTTCAAAGCAGCAGCAGCAGCCAAGCATCAGGCCGAGCACAGGACCCTTCTAAGTGCGGGACCCTGCGGGACTGCTTGGGTCATGTGCCTAAGAAGCCAGCTCCGGTCCTGCCCAACACCATCCTCCCATTTCCAGGAGAGCAGACAGAGGTCCCCAGGGTCAGAACAACTTCCCACGGCCACACAGCTGCAGGCAGCAAAGGTATGACTGTAAGCTGATATGAGCCGCTCCAGAACCCTGAGACCTGAACCACAACAAGCCACTCACTGTCTCCACCGACCCCCAGATGGACACCTCCCTGCTGCCTTTCCCCACCAATGCTGTGCCTTTATTTCACCCTGTGGTGTGACTTTGCACAGAGAGCTAAATTAGAAGGGAACTTTGAATCCAGTGTATCATCTACACGTAAGAATCCCTCTCGTACTTTTCCAGGTTCTACTTAAATGCTCCCTTTGATGGGGAACTCAATACCTCAGAAAACAGCACATTACAGGGTCGAGGGCCTCTTGATAGAAGCAATTCATTTTAAGTTGAGCCCAAATGATTTCCACCATTCGTGTTAGTTCTCGTCCTCCCTTTTCCTGCCCAATGGGGAACAGATCAGATCGCTCTCTCCCAGGACAATGATGTTTCAGATATTGGAGACCAGGCCATGTCTCCCCTTACCCTCTTCTTTCCAGGGGAAGTTGCTAGGTTCCTTTGGTCACCCTTTTGAGATGGTGTCCAGACCTCTCCCCATACTCTTAATACTAACTCAGAGGTGGGGGATATCCTGCCCACAGGCCATATAAGACCCACGAAGTCATTTGGCCTTGCCCTGCTATGGCAACCGCAGGTGGAACTCAAAATTCAATAAATCTAGGAGCTTTTTTCATAGCAACATCTATATATATAAAAGGCTAATATGCAAAGTGTCCCCTCAGGAGTTCAACCAGGAGACCAGGAGTTCGATCACTTGCTATGATGTGTGCTGACCACCAGGGGGTGGCACGGAATGAAGGAAGGCTCCGACTGGCAGCCAAAGGCTCCGATTGGCCCTGATCACCGGCCAGGCCTAGGGACCCTACACGTGCATGAATTTTGTGCACTGAGCCTCTAGTAAATTTATATTAAGTGAGTTATATTAAGGACCCTTGGCAGAAAAAAGGTTCCCCACCCCTCCCCTTAGAATGGGTGCCCCAGACGCAATGTAACCGCTACATTCTCCTGTCTTCTCCCTGGGTTCCATGGGCCATGTGGCTGAATGCTTCCAGGCTTCACCCCGGTGTCCTGAGAGGAAACGGGCACCCTTTGCAAGGGCTAATGTGGAGGGATGGCATGTTCACTCTTAATGACCGCCGGAGTCTCCCTGAAATTCCACTGCAATCCAAACAGCCAGAGACCCCGAGTTCAGCAGGAGGCCACGTCATGTCCCCGGTCACCTCGGGAGGTCCTGAGGGCAGGCCCTGTGCTGGAGCCACCCGTGCAGCCCGGCACCCGCAGGTGCTACAAGTCTTTGTCCCACTTTCCCTGGGATCCCTTCCCAGAGGGACAACCTGGACACTTCCTTCCCTAAAGCGAAGAGAAAGGGCACCCTCTCCCTGTGCTGCTCCAGCTGCCTGCAAACCAGTGCCCCAGGGAGTTTCATCTCAGCGAGCGGGCCTCTCACAGACTCGCATGGTCCCCGAGGAACCTGCTTTCCTACTTGTAACTTAGGACGTGTGCCCAGTGCCTATGTGGGCCTCTCGGGGAGAGAGAAGGAAGGATCACAGCTCTCCCGACCACACTCTCTGAGGACCACGGAGCAGTCGGCTCAGACAGTGTCCTGACCCCCCACCCCCAGCTCCCACCCAGACCATGCGAGCCCCTTCCCTGTCAAGCTCTCATCCCCCAGGCCTTCTCCTGAGCCCTTGATATAACCCCTCAGAACCTCAGCAATTTCATCTGTGCAGGCTGCTGGGCAGGTGAGAAGTGTGCACTACGTGAGTGCAGCCAGCCAAGTGCCCGGCACGTCATAGGAAGCGGTTTCAACCTACTTCCTTCCTCCTGACCTCCTCCCACCCTCCACTGCCTGCAGGGAACACGTCAGAACCCCAGACTGTCAGGTCGCCTGAGGCTCAGAGAGACCGGGTAAGCTGTCTGAACACACACAGCACTCAGTGGCAGAGCCCACCCTCCAGCACAGGTCCCTGAATCCCAGACCTGCCCTTTGCCCACTAAATGGAGGCTGGATCAACAGTCAGGCGAGGAAGCAGCCAGGCGAATCTCAACCTCACACTTCCTGGTCCCACAGTCCTTGCTAATATCAATATTGACACCAACAACAGGAACAGCTGCCATTTGTTGAGCCCTTACTAGGCACCAATGAAGTTAATAATGGTGACAACAGCAATCACACTTGCAATGATGCCAGCGAACATCTGCTCGGGGCCAGTACTACCCTGAGCCCTTCCCCCTCGCCATGGCCTATAAGGTGGCTCTTGGGGCCCACGTGCTCTGGTGCTGAGATCCCCCAAGTTTCACACAGGGATCAGGCTGTGTCACAGCCCAAAGTCTCCCCCATTCACATTTCCCGGGGACACCTGAATGGGGTACACAAAGGCCACAAAGAGCTCCACTTCTGTTTGGGTCCATTTTGCCACCAAATGAGCTGCAAATGTTGTGTGTGTGTGTGTGTGTGTGTGTGTGTGTGTGTGTGTGTGTTTGGGGGGGAGAGCGGTTTCAAAGTGGTTTGGGGTTTCAGAATTGCAGACAATTGCTTATTGCCATTTGACGCACAAGGCAACTGAGGCCCAGAGAGGCTAAGGAATGTGCTGAGGGTCTCAGCGCAGAGGTTCCAACATGGGTGGTTTACTCTGGAGCCAGGCTGGGCCACCACGCTGTATGTTATAAATGTGTTGTAGTTGGTGCGCCTGGGTGAGGGGGGGGGGACAGGCAGGTTTATCCTGATTTATAATCGAGGAACCCAAGGCTGGAGAGCCCACATGCCTTGTCCAAGGACCCGGCTGCCCTCGGCTCTGCCCTGGAAACAGTGGCCGCTGGAAGCGAGGGGCAGGAAACACAGATGGCAGCCCAGGGGGTTCCTTCCCTCCCACCTGCCCAGGGGGCCTGGTGAGGGGGGAGAAGGCCCCCGCCCCCGCCTTGGAACAGGCCTTCCCTTCAGGCTCCCAGCGCCCCCACTCCCCAGCTGGGCCTCATCTGCAGGAATAAACACCATCAAGGGCATGTTTAGTCTTTAGCTGGGATTTACAATGTGCCGGGAAAGAAAAAATAAATCATTCATTCCAACTTGGGCGATAGGGTGGCGCCAGAACTTCCCCAGAAAAGCCAGAAAATTTCCCTTGCCTTCCAGAGAGGAGGTGGGCCAAGGGGAGGGGGCTGGGACCAGGGGAGGGGGGTGTCGAGCCTGAGGGTGGTGAAGCAGGCAAAGAAGGGGACAGAGTCTAGCCTGGAGTCAGGAGAGGCGATCCTCCCCGCAAGCCCTGCTCTGGAGCCGGCGACACCTCCGAGGTGTAGCTCCTGGTGGTGAGCCAAGCAGAGACTGTACCATCCTGTGGGCAGGCAGCGTGGTGTCGGGGGAGGCGTGGGCCTGAGTCAGAGGAAGCGGAGGGAAATCTCCACTCTGACACCTCTAACCTGTGGGTGACCGTGACCAAAAGTCACTTTGCTTTTCTGGGCCTCGGTTTCCTGAAGTGGAAAATGCTTGCAAAACTGAAACGTGTGTCGAATTATGAAGTCAGCTCCTGGCGTGTGGTTGGTGCCCATAGATGGGCACCACCTTTATTACTGTGAGATGGGGAAGCACACAGGGGTGAGAAGGTGGACTGCCCGGCACCCTA